CCATCCACACCTGGAAACAACTGCCTCTTCTCTCGCTGCACCCCCTGCCACCACCTCCCCCACTGCACTGTACAACTGATGGGAAATGTCCCTCTGGGCTCAGCACTCACCTTGGCCATGCAGGGATACTCCGCTTCATGGGGTGCTTGAGTCAAAACCCAGCCACACCGCAAAAAAGCTCATGAAAGCTTTGCCAAAGGTTCAAAACTTGTTAGCAGGGACTCCCTCCCTCTGCTCAGCTCCTGCCTTTAACCAAGATACTGTTAGTCCGAGCTGGCAAGGGCAGTACCATGGGGAAGCTGCCTGTCCTTCATGGTCACAGGCCACACATCACCCCACAGCCCAGGAAATGTGAGGGGAGGCTGGGGGCGGCTTTGGAAGGAGCTATGGCACGGTGTGGTATTAGTGCATTTCCCAACAGCTCTTGTTCCTCCTTCGCTTCTGCATTGTCATGATGGTGCTGCAGAAACCATCCCATACCTACACTGGCTGTGCTCTGTCTCTCTCTGTCCTCTCCATGTCCTCTGGTTCTTTTGGGCTCCTCTGTCGAACAGAAAAGGTCACCTCTGAGTGAAGGGGCAGTTCAGGTTGCTAACCTCACATCACGAAGCATCCAGGCCACAGGACCACAGGCTCCTGTAGGGAGGCTAGGGTTTTCACACCATGGTATGCTAAACACGTGCATGCCCTTCGAAGATCGGAGCCAGAAGGGCTTTTCCAGAGCTCCAGCAAGTCCAGGGGTTAAGGCGTCCTTCTATAAATGAGGAGGAGCTCTGGGGAAAGGCAAATAATTGCATTGTTGATGTGGCTGGACAAACTAAACTGGCAGGAAAAATGTCATGAGTCTGGTAGAGAGCATCTGGATGCTTCCCATGCCAGAGGGGATGGAGGGCTTGGCAGGACATATGTGGCACGCTGCAGCGGCAGATTCCCTGGCCACCACCGGTGTGAGCGTTTGAAAATCCTGTGCAAAGTTTCCCACCAGCAGGAGCAAGATGGGGATGGGGGTAGGTCTCTGCAGCCTGGCAGGAAGAAAGAGGCAGGGACAGCCAGAGCTTCATTTTGCAAACGGTCCTTGACTCCGAGCCACCCCATCTGTGTGACTCCGGTGCTTATGGCCAGATCCCCGACAGTCAGGAGCACTTCTGAAAACGGGGGCTGCAAGTCGCTCCCCTCTGGTTGTTGCATACATCTTGGTCAGTCCAAGGTGACAACCGAGATGGACAGTCTCTGGTTAATGCAGACAAATGAAATGCACTAAAAAGAGTCTGGAAAATATTAATTAAGTGAACTGAGGTCTCCCTGCTGCCTCAAGTAGCCTGTCCAGACCATTCTGTCCAGGTGGGCTTTTCTTCCTCCCTCAAGTGTTCTTCACACAGCTGGTCTCTGCAATGCCATTTCCTAGTTTTGCATGAATCTGTTTTCAGCTCTGCATCAACCCTGTGCATCACCACAGGAAAGAAAGGTGCTAAATTCACTCTGGTGACACACAAGACTACCTTATCAACAAACCTAAGGTGCTTTCAGAAGCTGGTGCTGGTATTGAATCGTCAGCGTTAGTGCACTGTATCCATCCACCCTTTCATATTTATGTATAACCACCAAAGTTATGATTGCTCGTTGTTGTGAGGAGTGCATATTCCTGTAGCTTTTTTTTGGTACTTGGGGGGGGTTGGTTTTTTCCTGGTACGCTGCCGCCGCATGGGGTGGGGGAAGTGTACGTATACTGTATTTGGGCTAATGTCAAACTTGAAAACTCTTTTGCATAATGCAGCTCCAGACTCTGGATTTTGCAAGAGTCCCAGAGCTTGTGACAGGATGGGTGGCCTGATGTTTGGGGGTTTTTTTATTATTTTGTTTTGTTTTGTTTTGTTTTTCCAACAGGTGCTTTTTTTTTTAAAAAAAAAAAAACTATTAATAATAATAAATTAGCAGAGATGGGTTTGTGTGTGTGTGTTGAGCCAAAAGTCTCAAATGAAAAAGCTCAAGGTTTCCTTCATTCCTCTCTGGTGCGGTGTTTGGTTTGGTTTTTTTTTTTGTATTGACATTTCTTACTGGTTGGTTTTTTTTTGGGAAGCATTGAAACCCAAACCCTGTGCCCCCTTGTCCCGCACAGAGAGGTGGCTCTTTGTGGAATTCCTTTTTGTATCAGAAGCAACAGCAACAATAAAATTATTTTGGGTTAAATGGTTCTGTGTCTTCCTCCTCACCTGGGTGCAGCGGCGGC